TGTGTATCCACTGTAGAACCACCCCTCGACTTGGAAATTGGATTAAACAAGTCACTGGTCGATTTCATGAATATGATCAGCTTCATATGACGAGTTAATTGTCCTATAATATTTGATTTTTGAAAATTAGATCCCTTGCTTTAAGTTGTTAACGTGCTTCACTATATCTTGTTTGCATTCATGCATGTATTATGCCTGATATTGGTTGTCTTTGACATGAATTACATAACACACGTGATGTCCTAAGTTCACCATGTAAGCTAACGAGAGAAGAGGAAAAATGAGGAATGTGCTTATTGATATTCAGGGGAACATTGTGCGAAGTTCTGTCTTGCACTGGATGCAAATGTAAAGTTAGTTTGATTGTGTTCAGATCTTATCCCCACTGCTGAACAGTTGTTCAGCCAATGGCCAGTTTCTATTGGTCCGTGTGCGAATAAGACTTTGCATGATGTGTATGCAAGAATCTTCGACTCCATGAAAAGGCTAGTTTGTGTAGTTACTGAAGGTGCTACAGAAATTAAAAATGATCTCAAGGGAAAATCCTTACTTATAGATATAAGCAATAGATTTGTCCATTCTCTAGTTTTTCTGAAACCTTAGGAATTCGATCATTCTATTAATCAATCCTTTGCTAAGAAATGTAAGGAACCCTTTCAGCAAATCTAGAGGAAACTTGGCCTTTAGACACCTTTTTCCCTATAAGCCAGCGTAAGTGAGTAGACAGGAAGAGGGACTTATTGTGACGAGTCAAGTGTCCATGGCAACCAATGATGACCTCTGTAAAGGGGGAAAATTACGGAGGAAAAAAAAAAAAAGGAGTGGAGGGAGGAGGCTGTCCAAGGAAGAAACTCAAGTTGTGTGGAAGAGTCTAGCTTTCTTGAATATGATAGAGTTAGTTGTGTTATTTTGTCAAATTCTGGATTAGTTGGCTGGAGATGTGCATTCTGCAACCACATTGAATTTTTATGGTGAATCATTATCATAGTGTGGGATTTCTATATGTTTTGCAGTAATTTTTGAATGGCAAAATGCACCTGATTTATTGATACTTTGTTATCCTTTAGCTTCTTCTGGAGCCTGGAAATTTTAGCACTCTATTAATCAATCTTGAAGGATTCTACGGGCATCTTATTGCCATTTGCCATGAGTTGCGGAAATGGTCATTTTCTAAGTTGAATTTGTTTCAATATTTTGCAGACCATTCAAACACAGCAGCGGGCTGAGAGGGATGCTGCAATTGCTCGATTAGAACAAAGCCGAATTGTTCTTGCTATGAGATTGGCCGAACATCATGGTAAGAAGTACAAAGTCATTGAAGAAGCTCTGGCTTTTGTGGGAGATGTACAGGGCGCAGGCCGCGTTCTTATGCGGGAAAACCTTTGTGGTCAACCATGCTGTCCTTCTGCTGAGAATTTTGCAGCTGATAAAGGAAGGAAATCTAATATCTTTATTAATGTCTTCCTTTCAACTGTCAGTTTTGTGAAAAAAGCCCTCAGATTAGATAATGTGAGTGGAATAGTGGGCAACGCTGCTTTGGTTGCCGTTAGCGTGGTTGCTTTGCTACATTTTCATCACGTAGCTTATCAGGAGCTTCCACATAGGCAAGAAAATAGTCTTCCCAGCAACAGAACCGGGCGAAGAAAATTTCAACCAGAGGGGTCTTCGGCTAATTCGCACTCCAGAAATCTGGATTTACTGCTGGCCAGGGGTTAGGCACTAAAATAGTGCTCTTTTACTCTCTGATCTGGAGTTCAGATATTGAAACTTTCCCTTCTTAGCCTACATGATTTTTGATGCCGTTTGCGGTTACGGCGGAGTGCTTAAGGTGGGTACAAGTATGGTTGCACCGTATCAGTTTTAAAAGTTGAGTCACAACGCTCGAAAAGTTTTTTTTTTTTTAAATGCTTTTATCTGTTTTCCGTTCGAAGGCCGACGTGTATATTCCATCGTCCAACTGAGTAGAGTGTAATCTGTTGAGTGCCTTCCTTTTACTTTTGTTTTTTTTTTTTTCAGACTTTTTTTCGGTTTTTGTTTTTGGATGAGGGAAAAGCCGGGGCCCAGGACGAATCTTTATTTGTTAGGCTGCATTCCCTCACTTCGCTTGTCTGTTTAGAATGCTTTCTTTTCTTGCGAGGTAGACGCCGTTACGTTTGCTTTGAAAATGCTGTCTTAGCAACATTATAAATGAAAATTTATCATGCTATGAACTGCAGCTTGAGATTTTCTACTCTCCATGTTCGAGGACATTCGATAAAGTTGGATTTCCTCATTATCCAAAAGTTGTAGAAACCCACCTTCCGCTTTGTATAATTCTCCGTCGTTTTGTTTGTACGCATGGATCATTGTCTTTTGGTAATGCCAAAGGAAAAGTTTTGGGTCGAGAGATCTTGTGTGCATTAGGAAGATGTCGATTGCAAATTCACTGATATGGTGCTGTGTTTTTTATTAAAAAAAAACCCAACAACCAAGTGGAAGGGAAAAAAAAAGGAGAGCAACAACGCGCAACAGAACTTTTGACGTTTGGGCTAAGTGACATTTGATCCTTGGGCCTAGTTTTTTTGTTTGATTTAGCCTGATTTTTCCGTACAGGAAAATGACAACTTTTTTTTTTTATTAGTTGCCCACCCAGTTCACTGAAGTTTTGCTGCGACTACATTTAGATCCAACCTGTGTCGCACATTTGGTTGTGGTAGGTGAGTCTTCCAACAGAGATTTTTACATACGCTAAGGCTCGAATTCGAAATCTCCTTTAAACAATACTAAGCTGCTTACCACTTGGACTAATCCCGTTGCTGAAAACTTCATTACACGCATGTGGGTTATATACCTTCTGGGACTGTCTGTATCCAATTGTCGGGTTTTTGATAAAAAGCCGTTAGCACGTCATTGATGTTTTTGGGGGCCCAATATCGATCCCCTATTGCTCGAAGTCCGTCATACTTTGGCCCATTAAATGAATGGACCTTTACTCTGATTGAGCTTTAGCGGCCGCCGAGAGATTGTCCCTAATGTGGTGCTGTCCCCTGCAACCCCAAAAAAATAAAGTGGTGTCATCCCCCTTCCACCAATCAAACCAAAAGAAAGCAACCCAAAAAAAAAAAAAAAGTATCGGAATAAATGAGTTAAGCAATACCAACAATGGCCATCTTCTCGGTAGTCCATCCGTACCTGAAAATATATGCATTTTTATAATTCGTGAAGGCTGATGAAGTCTCTGGTGGAGAATGCAATTTTGTCCAACAAAGTGGAATGCTCGGTTGCGTTATATCCGTGTATTATAATTTACCATTTGTCACCAAGAACGATATGAAAGACCCCCTCCCCTCTGCCGTTTCGAATTTCGAGAGGCTTGAAAAAGAAGACCCCTTTCTGCAGAATTAGAACATTGATGATGCTGAATTTTTCGAATGGAAATGATGGCTCTGTGCATGAGAATGGATCGAACTGTTGTGACTCCAAGCTCAATGATATCGCAACGGTTTCACATCGGGATTTCCCCCGAGTGTGGATCGATCATCATCGGTCATCGATCTTTAGTCAATACGCGATTGGAGGAGAAATGTCAAAACGAAAGAAATGTCGGAAAGTTTTTGTTGCTATGTGCATATGATTTCCTGGCAACTTTTTGACCCCCTTGCTTTGCAGATTTAATCATCAAGAAAAAAAGGCGTAAACAACGAAATAAAGCAGCATTAGAAGTTTGAAGCCATAATTAGCACTCGTGATAATTCACCTTCGTCTAAACACTTACTTTGACTTCTCATTGGATGCATTAATCGCCTGAAATTAACGAGCAAAAACAAACACACGTTATCTACAGAACTACGCACTCAGGTGTGATGGACAGCCAGAAAACACAGCCTCCCTTTACTGTCCAACTTTTCCTTGCCATTCTCCAATGTCCAATTCCGCTGTTCCTTTTTCCCTTCGCCAATTAACAAACTTTTTCCCCTGTCACACTTTAATTTAATGATCTCCCGAGGGCCCTGAAAAGATATATTGTGTCCAGATGGAAGCTGTCAGGTTCATAAAGATAGGTCAACTTGCAAAGATCTTTTACCCCATCAACTTAATTAGTTGTAGATTCAAACTCCAATGCTTCTTTTTATATATATAGGGACGGCCCGACCACGTTCAACTCCCGACATAGTAAACGGGAAAACATTTTTAATACAAATTAGTTATATGTACATTCATCGTGTTTGAAAACATGTAATGAGATAGTCAAAGAGAACGTACGACATCGACATCAAATCTCTCCAAGTCTCCATTGCTTCGGCCTGTCTGCGTGCAAGAAAGCATCGGGTCTCGTGCTCATTTTCTCACTACCTGACAATAGACAGCATTGCAAATTAGTTATTCATATATTTTGGACGCCGTCCTGTTCCATCCCCTGTTCATGAGAATTTGGATCCTTGTTCTGCCTCTGCCTTTACTACGCGAAACACGATGCGCGGGGCTACTCACCAAATTAAAGGGCCCCGTTTTGAATATATATACGTGGTTGTGGTGGTTTAGAGTCAAATGAGGATTACTCTCAATTATTTTTTTTGGGTTTATAGCTATAATCCATGCGTTGTGAAATTACGACCAATCACGTGATGAAATTATAATCTTTGCCCTGACTTTTCAACAAGGTGTGTGTGTGTGAGAATATGTATGAAGATAATGAAATGGGGACGCATGATACATGGTATAATTGTAGCGAGGGAAATGGAGGGGTTTTGAAAGAAAGGGGCGGTTGGACTTGTGTCGGCGGGTGAGGCCTCACTGTGGGGCTCTCCGCAGGGGATCACGACGCGCGTTCCGTTGAAACGCGCCGTGACGCTTCCTCATCATTCCCATTTCCCACGTACTCCTTTCACACTCACAACATACATACAATTTGCATCCTCACAATTGCCATGCGTGTTTCACGTGATCTCCTTTTTCCTCCTCACTATCTTTCACTTTCCTTCCATTTTTCCTGACAAACAGTATTATTTAACCGAACCCACACACGCAAATAAAAAAAAACTTTGAAGTGAAGGCATGGGAGGCAGATTCTTCCGTTAATTTTTTTTTCTCAAATAAAGGCTGTGAAATAATATTAGATAATAAATTAAAGATGTGTTTTTCAGCTTTCGCGGGACCCAGGAATATTTTTTTGGGGCCCGGGGGGGAGGTGGCTAATTTAGGCTTGACAAATATTTTGTTTCTTCTTCTTCTTTTTTTTTCTAAATTCGGAGGAGGAAGGAACGAAAGAAAAGCTTGGAGGAGCGGAGCCTACAAGTGGGGCGAAGTGGGGAGAGGAATGGAGTGGGGCCCATTGTTACTTAAGACGGCCCAATAGCATGCGTCCAATTGTATGGGCCTTGACTTCTTTGGGAGTATTGAGGAACACCCAAAAGTAAATCAACGGGATTAGATCTAGCAAAAAGGGCTAGTCTCTCACAAAGTAACGAATTAAGATTTGAATCCTGTTGGAAGAGGTGTCCACATTTAGTGTTTGACAGTGTCTCAAATAGGATTACTTTCAATAGGAAAATATTTATATTGTAGGAAAAAAAAAAAGGAACACCCAAAAGTATTTTTAAAAAATACGTTTTTTGTAAAATGAGGTAGATTATTTTACATATTTAATTTTTATATGATTAAAGTATTTTTAAAATTATGGTTTGGTTTTTATCCAAATACTCCTTTAGTAATCTAGAGTTGAATTATTAGAAATGGGGAATTTCCACTCATACGTTCTGAATTTCTAATATATTTCGTTGAAATTAAAAAAGCCTTTGAACTGTATTTTTTATATTTAAAAAAAAGGTCATTTCATGATGTGGCAAAAGGTGAAACTAATTAATAAAAAAAAAAATTAATGGCATATCTTATACTACCTTCGATATTAAGTGTAAGATCCAGTGGGATACTTTAAGGTTATAAATGAGAGGAGAGCGGTAGAAAAGCAGGAGTTAAATGGAAGAAAGCACTGATGGAGTTGACCATAGCAGTGGTTGCATGAGAAATTCTGGTGGCCACCAATGCAATATAGAGAGGTAGGCTGGTAGGCCGCGAGCGTACCAAGTTGCCTCTAACTCTGTTCCCCAAAAGCCTCCCACATTTCTTCAATTCCTCACCTAACTTCCCCTCTCTCTCTCTCCCCCCCCTCGTTCCATTGCAACATGACTTGTATCTCCTCCATTTCAAAAAGTTTACCATCTTCCCATTTTCCAAGTTTATTTGAAATCTACATGGATAGTAGACCCTAAGTAGAACGTGAGCTAATAATGTGTGGTAATTCAATATCACCCAAACCTCTGTTCCCTTTTTAAATGGAACCCGTCATGTGTGAAGTCGAAGTGACTTCATTCAAGTCCTGTGTTGGCCCCCGTCGGCACCACAAAGTGAAGAAATCCCCAGCACATGCCCACTATCACCGCATTTTCCCCACCAAAATACTGTCCCTTCTTCACCTCTTTCTATCATTTTCTTCATCTCCTCCCTTTGATTGTAGAACATACGACCCTAGAATCATATATCATCACTATATTTTGGATCCCCTCTTGTAATCTCATACTAACATTAATCACTCTCATGTGTAAATACGCACATGGCCCACTTTAATACTGTTCTTATAACATATCATGCTATGTGTGAGTCAAGGACAAGGCCTATTGCAACTCGTGAATCTGACATCATTCGTTCACACTGATCAGCCACATTCCTACTTCTTTCTG